AAATAGCGGGAATTTTGTCCTAAAAACAGGGGGATTTTGTCCTAAAAGGGGGGATTTTGTCCCTAAATGAGGGGATTTTGTCACAAAATAGAGAGATTTTGTCCTAAAAAGGGAGGATTTTACCTCAAAACCGGGGGATTTTGTCCCTAAATGAGGGGATTTTGTCCCAAAAGAGGGGGATTTGATCCTAAAATGGGGGGATTTCACCGCCAAATAGAGGGAATTTTGCCCCCAAACGAAGGGATTTTCCCCCAAAACAGGGACATTTTGCTCTGAAGGGGGGAGTTTTATCCCAAAACAGGGGGATTTTGCCCCAAAAGGGGTTTTTGGGGTCCCCCTGGGATTTTTAGGGGTATTTTGGGGTCCCCTCTGGACGTTTTGGGGTGTTTTTGGGGTCCCCCGGGATGTTTAGGGGTGTTTTTCAGGTCCCCCCCAGGGTGTTCAGGGGTGTTTTAGGGTCTCTTGGGGTGTTTTTGGGGTCCCCTTGGGATTTTTAGGGGTGGTTTTGGGGCCCCCTTGGGGTGTTTAGGGGTGTTTTGGGGTCCCTTGGGGTGTTTTTGGGGTCCCTTGGGGTGTTTCTGGGGTCCCCCCCCCCCCGGGTTCACCTTCTCGAGGGTCTCAATCCGCTGCTTCAGGAGCCGGTTCTCGGTTCGGAGCCGCTGGGGGGGGAAATGTGGGAATCATTCCCGGGAATGGGACCCTGGGATGAGCCAAGGTGGCCCCAGGGATGGCTCCAGTGGCCCTGGGGTGGCTCAATTGACACTGGGGTGGTTTTGGTGACCCTGGGATGGCTCAAGGTGACCCTGGAGTGGCTCAAATTGGCTCCAGGGTGGCTTTGGGGGACCCAAGGATGGCTCAAGTGACCCTGGGATGGTTCAAGGTGACCCTGGGATGGCTCAATTGACACTGGGGTGGCCCAAAGTGCCCCAGGGTGGCTTTGGTGACCCTGGGGTGGTTCAAGGTGACCCTGGAGTGGCTCAAGGTGACCCTGGGATGAGTCAAAGTGGCTCCAGGGTGGTTTTGGTGACCCTGGGGTGGCTCAAATTGGCTCCAGGGTGGCTTTGGGAGACCCAAGGATGGTTCAAGGTGACCCTGGGGTGGCTCAAGTGACCCTGGGATGGCTCCAGGGTGGCTTTGGTGGCCCCAGGGATGGGTCCAGTGACCCTGGGGTGGCTCAAGGTGACCCTGGGGTGGCTCAAGGTGACCCTGGGATGGTTCAAGGTGACCCTGGGATGAGTCAAGGTGACCCTGGGGTGGCTCAACTGACCCTGGGACAACTCAAGGTGACCCTGGGGTGTCCCCAAGTGTCCCCAGGAGCCCCGTGGCGTCCCCACACATCCCCTGGGTGCCCCCCCCGTCCCCGTCCCACCTTGATCTCGATCTGCTCCTCCATCTCCTTGTTCTTGATTTGCGTGTACTCCTTCTCCAGCCTGGGGGGGGACAGGGGGACGTGGGGCCTGGGCCGGGGCCGAGCCCCCCGCGGGCCCCCCCGCGCTCACCTCTTCATCTTGCGGGGGTTGTACTTGACCTGGAAGGCCCTGAGGATCAGCTTGTCCGGGCACGAGTCGAACTGGTGCGGGATCACCTTCTGGAAGTACTGCGGGGGCACCGCCGGGGCAGCCACGCACACAAACA